AAAAACAAAAAGGAAAAAAGAAAAAGAAAAAATAATAATAATAAAAAGAAAAGCCCCCCAAAATCCCACTGGTGTGGCTGTGCAGACCAAGGAACTGACTCCCAAGCCACACAGTACAGCCTGGCTAGAAGGGATGGAGAAGGTACCCAGCACCATGTATTCAGTAGACAGGAAAAGAAGGTAAGTAGAGAGAGACAAGAAATCGAGAAATGAAGAAAAGGAAAAAAAAAAAGAAAATAAACAAAGTAACAAACAAAAAGTTCCCAGGGATCCCACTAGCATGGCAGCTCGGACCCAAGAAGCAGTTCCCGATATGAGCAGTGCTTCACAACCTGTCAAGAAGAAGCGGAGACAGCACACGGAGCCAGATGTTAGAGAGAAAGTTAGGGGAGGAGGTGAGAGAGAGGGAAGAAACCAAAAGAAGCTGAGAAAAGAAACACCAGCAACAAAGAAATGGCTGGCTTGTGTGCGCTGGGTGAATCTACGTGGCAAGGAGTCCGTGCCTCCTGGCAGAGATTGCAGCCTGCCAGGAAGCTGTGGAGGCCGAGAAAGGGGCAGAAGGGTGGGGGATGGGAAAGCGTGTATTGCTGGTTATTGGTGCTCTGTCTCTTGCTGGGAGCTTGGTGTAGCTACTTTCCCATACTCCCTGTCTGCCAATCTCCAGCAGGAGTCTAAGATGGTGAATCCATGATGCGTTAGCTGATAAGGAACATCCACTCTGTCTCTCCTCACTGTCTGTTCTCTGTCGGTTTCTTATTTGGTTTGGTGCTTGGCCAAGTTCCTTATGTCTTCATTTGATGCTTAGGGTTCCAGGATTGATGTTTGTGTCTGTTTTACTTAGTTTTTCAGGTCTTTGCTGTGGAGTGACGGCGTGGTGCTTCTGTTTATAGTGTCATGTTGGCTCCACCTTCTATTTTTGTTTAATTTTTTGGACAAATAGGATTGTACCTAGGACATAGAGATAGGAGGCATGGGGTATAACTTTAGTCCCATATAATCCCCATCAGCTTCACCTTTAAAGTGGATAATTTTGCAAAATTGTGTAAAATTCCATGCAAATGTAGCTTCAAGTTACCTTTTTATAAGAACGATCACAGTAATAGCCAACATGAATGTAATACTCATTATGTGCCATGTACTGTACTAACTGATATGTATATGTGTGTGTGAGACACTTATTTACACACATGTGAGGGAATTAGCTGGTAGGCTGAACCAAGAAACAAGGTGAATATAATATATAATTTATCAAAGAGGATATAACATGGCAGACAGTTTTGGAACATGAATCTCATCTGTTTCATTCTCACGTGTATATATATATGGCAAGAATTTGTTTATATATGTATTTGCTGAACCTTAAAATCCCTGTCATCAGGTTTTTGTTTAAAAATACTTACTCTTATATTATCTTAAAAACCATTACACCTAAAAACCATGAGAGTAACGAGGTACAGGAGTCCAGTGACAAGGCCCAGAAGGCAGAAGGGGAGTAGGAAGCTGATGATAGGGAACACAAA